AGAGTGTGGCCATGGATTAGTAATGTCTGCCTCAGGTACCGGAGGGTACAGTAGCCGCCCAAGGGCCCCGGATTGGCATCTCCAGTCTAGTCGGACCAACCCCATTCTACAGATGGAGAAAGGCCCAGAGGAGATGAAACTTGCCCTAAGGTCTCCCAACAAAGCAGTGACAGGCCCAAACCGGAACACAGATCTCCTGTCTCTTAGGATGTGGAGCACACCATGGGGAAAAGAGGAGAGAGAGCATGGCCAGACCTCAGGAGGCTCTGCTGGTAGCTGAGCTTGAGGCTATGCAGGTATTGGGCCTCCTTGGCCCCAGCCTGCAGGCTGGAGAGGCGCAGGCCCACGTAGATACTGGGGTTCAGCTGCTCCGGGGAGAGCCGGTCCATCCAAGGCAAGAGGCGCTGGCCCAGCCTCTCCACCAGCGTGCTGTCCACCTCTGTTATTTCTTAGGAAAGAGAACAGGCCAAGTGAGGTCGCAGGGCCATGCCACCAGTGACACCTTACCAGGGTCTTCTCCAGGGAATAAACATCCCCACCTTACTGTCACCTGGCACACACCCTACTCGTATGCGGGAGTCCGACTGTAACGAGAGGCAGCGGTAACGGGAAAAGCCGGTATCCTGAAAGAGTGGCCGGAGCGGGCCAGGGAGAGCTGGTGGGCCCAGGGCAGAGGAAGCGGGTGCCAGGCAGCCACTCTGCCCATCAGGAGTGACAGAGAGACTGGAAGCTGAGCGGCGTGGGGTGCCCCAGGCACTGCACCCCACCTCCCTCGGTCCTTAGGCCAGCCCTGTGACGTAGGTACTGTCATCATTGCATTGCACAAAAGAGGAAACAGAAGTCCAAAGTTGTGGGAGTGTTCCACCCATTTACAAAAACTTCAACTCACACTGGGAACAGGTTATAGAACCAGTTTTAAAACAAAAATAGAGTCACAGATGTAGAAAACAAACCTATGGTTACCAGGGGTGAAGGGGGGTGGATAAATTAGGAGACTGGGATTGACATATACACACTACTACATACAGAATAGATAAGTAATAAGGACCTACTGTATAGCACAGGGAACTCTACTCAATACTCTGTAATGACCTATATGGGGAAAGAATCTTCAAAAAACGTGGATATATATGTATAACTGATTCACTTTGCTATATACCTGGAACTAACACAACACTGTAAATCAACTATATTCCAATTAAAAAAAAAACAAAAACAAAAACACTGCATCCTGCCCACTGGCTAACTGGGGCTGCCTGGTGAACTTCCTCTGGGCAGATCTCAGAAAAACGCTTTTCCTGCCCCCTCAGTTTAGGTGAAAAGGACCTGAGATTGTGAGGTGAATTGTTAGAAAGCCATAATCCTTTGCGACCATTTATCTGTGTGCTTCGGGATTTACCAATGAGGGAAGCAGAAGCCCTTAGGGGTGTTTCCCAGCTCCAGCTGACTGGCACTTTCCTCCCTCAGGGAGGGAACCTGAGCTGAGTAGGTGGCCTTGGAGCCACTTTAGACTTTTCCCCATTTACCGCCTCCCAGTTGCTGTGGGGCTCCAGCTGCTGGGCAGGCCGCCCCTCCCAGGGAATGGAGCAAAGGAACTGGGGAGGAGGCTGTTTCTCTTTTCCTTTCTCTTTCTCAGTGCTTTTCTGTGTGCCTGCCCCCATTTCTGTAGGAATTTCCCTCTCTCTCTCTCTCTCTCTATCTCTGTCTCTGGATCTATCTCATTCTCTCCAACTCTCAGCCTGTCTCTCTCCTTACCTCTCCCTCCACAGTTCTCTTTTCCTCTCCCTTTTCTTCAAACTGGAGAGGGAGCCCCACCCCCACCTTGGGCTCTGACCTCCAGTGGGTGAGTCAGCCCTGGGATTAGCATGATAGGAAGAGGAGCTGGTGCTGTAAAGAGAGGTGGGTAAACACAGTTCAGCTTCCTTAGCAGGAAGGAGCTGCTAAGATTCACCCAGGGTAATAAAAGTAAGCCTGGGCGAGCTCCCTCCCCTCAGGGCCTCCAGCTCACAGGGCCGCCCAGCTCTGCCAGCAGAGGACTGGCTTTGACAAGAGGAAGCACGGAAGCCCACCCTGCATGGGCACTAGTGCAGATCTGTGTCAGTTTCACAGCCACACAGGGCTTGAACCTGGTAAAGCAGGTGGTGGGATCCTTGCATCACACCAAGGAGGAAGGCAGGGGAGCATTCTTAGCCCATTTTACGAGTGAATGAGACTGGGAGTGACTAAGTGGCCCAGCAGCAGTGGGCTGCACCCCCAAACCCAGTTCAGGGCTCTTTTGGGGTCAGGCCTATGGACCAACTGTTGAAAGGTTCATACCCACTGAGGGTGCCGGGTCTCCCCTGGGGACTGCCTGGACAGGAACCAAGAGCCAAGGGCTGTGGGGTCTGGTGGCACTTGTGGAACACGCCGGGCGGGAGGCTCCTGGTGCCCAGGGAAGACCGTGACCTGGAGTTCTGAGAGCTGAATCCAGCAAAGCCCTGGAAAGCTGGGGTGCCTTGGGCAGATCACCTGGCCCCTTCAACCCTTGACTGCTTCATGTGTCACCTGCACATGACTGAACCTGCCTCTCGGTTTCTGCAAGGGTCACAGGAGACCCTGCTGGTGTAGGCAGAGCGAAACGCTGTGGGCAGAGGACGACTAGGAATGAAGAGAGGCGGGCAGCCCACCTTCCCTTCCTGCCTCTGCTTCCTGTGGGGCTCCGGGGCACGAGCAGCCCTGAGCCTGTGCGCTCCAACTCCCACACAGGTCCCAAGAGTTCCCGAGATACTCCCCGGGGCACCAGAGCAGGCAAGCCCCTGTATGGAATGTAAAGCAAACGCCTTGCCGCCGCTGTGACCCGCCAGGGTCTCCACACGCTAGCTTTCCCTCTGCTTTCCCTCTGCCGGGGTGCCCGCCCCTCACTCCTTTCCTTGCCAGCTCCTTTTCCTCTTTCGGGTCTTAGTTCCTGCATCACCCCCTGGTCCTTGGAAATCCTTCCCATCCCTTCTCCCTGAATTGGCAATCCCCCACCCCCGCCAGGCCTTGGGCTTCCTTTGGCACTCATCACAGCCCCCAACACAGCACTGACTTGCCTCTTGACCGCCATCCCCTTCACTAGAATGGAAGCTCTAGGAAGGAGGGGGGAAGACCTGTCTTGCTCTTTGTTCTTTCCCCAAAGCCTAACATGGTGCCTGGCACAGAGAAGGCTCAATCAATGTGTATTGAATGAATAAATGAACAAATGACTGAATTAATGGAAGTGATCTTGTCTGGCGGCGAGTCAGACATACAATTCATCTCAATACAATGTGCTACAACACTGAGGTCCAGCTAAGTCCAAACTGCTGTGGGAGCCCAGAGGGGCAGCTAAGTCATCCCTGCCACACACACACATCTGAGCCTGTTTCTCAGGGCTTGGACAAGATGGTCCTCTCTCCTAAGGACCCAGCAGGCAAGAGGCACGGAGTAGATCCAGGTACTCACCGCAGATCTGGGCGAGAGCTCCCAGGCCCCCAAGCAGGAAGAGGAGGGCCCCAAGGCACCCCATGGCAGGAGCAGGGGTAAGCAGCAGGCGGGGAGCAGGACAGATTCCTAGGGCTGGCCTGGCAGAGGCTCTCCTGACCACAGCAGTCACTGCTCCGAAAGAGGCAGCTTCCTGTCACTGATTAATCCCTCCACGCCCGGCGGCACACTGCTAAGTCAGCAGAGAGAAAGGGGAAAAGGTCTGTAGCCGAGGGGAAAGGAAGGCCAAAGAACAGAGGAAGGAAGGGCAGGGCAGAGCAGGCCTTCCTGGAGGTCAGGGGACAGGGGGAGGGGGAGGGCAAGCAGCGGTGGTGTGCAACATTGCGAGGCCAACCACATTCTGTCCCCGCTGCCCAAAGAGCCCTGGACCACCGCAGGAGGTCTGACTTCTGATCTGCCCAAGTCTGTCCGACCACTCCTGTCCTGTATCCCTTTGGCTGTTCCAGCGGTGGACGGGCAGGGCTGGAGTGCCTACCTGGTACCCCTCCCAGAAGGAGCCCCTGAAAGTGTCCACCCTGGCCTGGGACAGGGAGCAGGACAGGGAGCTGCGACGGTCACATGAGCAGCGGCTGGAGTCAGCTGTTCTCTGCCGGCCCGCCCCAGCGGTGGGGTGGGGGTGGGGGTGTGTGGAGTGCAGCCGAATCGGACCAGACAGGCCAGTTTTCTCAGCCGACCAGAAAGCTGGGAGCCTCCTGGAGACAAAACAAAGCCATTTAATGAACAAGACTTAATCATCTGAGACACAAAGCTATGGTTAGCAGGGCCACTTGTCAGGACTAGGAAAGTAACCTAAAAAAAATCTCTTCAAGGAGGAGAGAGAACAAAGGATTCCCCACCTGCCTAGGCCCACAGGAGAATCTATGTCCAAGAGTTAGCTCTGGAGGTGCTGTGTTACCTTGGCCAGGTGACTTAACCTCTCTGAGTTTGAAAGTTTCTCCTGTGTGAGCTGAAAGGGTTGGAGAAGATCATTCTAATTAAGCTCCCTTCCAGCTCAACTTGCGAAGATGTTATGACCTTAAAACATCTCTAATCACTTTTAAATAAAATTTCTATTGCAATCATTTTATGGCAAATTGCCACAGTTCAGTCTTTCAAGATAATTCAGTTTTGTGCCTGACTTATCACAAGCCAATAAATACAGACATAAATAAATACAGAGACTGCATCTGTTTACGGAAGTACCTTATAAATATAAAATTAGATCGTCTAGTGCAAGGAGGCTGGGCATGGCCCATCAGGGTGAAGTTCCAGGGAAGGAAGGATGCCAGCTAGAGGCCCAACTTCTGCAGATTCTTGGGTTCAGACTTCCACGGGGGCCTTGGAAATTTGTGGGCAATGGAGCTGCCTTGGTTTGGGATGGGACTGCCCCGCTCCCCAACCCTCTGCCTGTGGCCAGTGGCAATGATTCTGTTTCCTGCCACCTCCAGGACAGCAGCCTCTGATGAGAAGCAGCTTCCTTGGGAGAGTCACCTCTGATCCCTGAGGACTCGAATGTACTGCAGTGACCAGTGGGGATGAGGTGCATTTCCATAGCTATTAGAAACAGAGTGACTGATTGGGGGTGGAACTGGACTGTTTCAGGTAATGCAGTCAGGGGAAGTGAAAAAGAAAAACAACTAAATCATTTGGTTCAGGACTTCTGTTTGGGGGTCTATAGCTGAGAAAGTAAAGATTAGCTTGGAATGAGCAGGTAAAAGTTTGCCTGTCCAGACAGGCACGGGCAAAGCCAGCTGCAGTGTAAAAAGGAAACATTATTTCTCCCAAGGTCACGTTACAACAACTGTAAAGTGTCCCGATAACCATGCCGTGTGAGTGACTATTACTTGTACTTTTTTACCGGGATTTCTTTTTTCCCCTACAATCACAAACTATCAGGAATTTGCTGTCTGAAATTATGTTAGTAAGGAAGAAACAACCCCAGAGGCGCCAAGTCACTTTGACACAGAGAAGTTGCCCCAGTATGGAATTCCTGAACTCAACGTTCCATGCCTGTCTCAACTTTGTAGTTTCCACTTACACAGGGTACTTTGCTGTCCAAACCTGAAGCTGACACTTCTCACACAGCCCTGTGCTGTGCTGAGCCTATCAAAATACTGCTTGGTTGGGACTTCCCTGGCAGTCCAGTGGTTAAGACTCCACATTTCCACTGCAGGGGGCACAGTTTCGATCCCTGGTCAGGGAACTAAGATCCTACATGCTACGTGGCACGGCCAAAAAAAAAAGAAAAAAAAAGCACTGCTTGGTTTACATTTCACCTAGCCTAACCCCACTCTTCACCCAAATCCTGTAATCGCCTTGCCCTCTGTGTAGTCAGACTCCCTCAGTTCCTCACCCTCATTGCAGTGGATCAACTGAGCCGACTGTCAGACTAAAGGTTTGTTCTTGGTGGTCTCAGGATGACTGGACTAGGATACAGCCTAAGAAAGAATCCAACAGGAAAAAAATTAAATTTTATGCATGAACAAGGATATATTGTACAACACAGGGAATATAGCCAATATTTTATAAGAACTATAAATGGAGTATAACCTTGAAAAAATTTGAACCCCTATGTTGTTGAACCCCTATGTTGTACACCTGAAACTTATATAACATTGTACATCAAGCATACTTCAATTAAAAAAAAAAAGGTGAAGTGAAAAAAAATTGTATGTGTGAAGGTGGCATGAGAAGAATGAATATAATAAATACATGGCTGTATCGTTACATATGGAATATCCATTTTCTTAATTAAAAATGTAAATATATTAAAAACTTAGAGTCCATTTAACGTAGAAGGATGTTCATAATTAATCTTAAAATTTAAAACTTATATAAGTAAGATATGTGGATTGCATGAAAAATTAGAAAATGTGCTAAGGGAGAAGAAGGAGGTAGAGGAAGAAGAGGGAAAGAAAAACCAGAAAATCACTGATAGCCCATAACCCAGAGGATTGTTCTCAAAGTGTGGTCTGTGGGTCCCTGGAGGCCTCCAAGACCCTTTTAGGGGGTCTGTGAGCTCAAAATTACTTTAGAAAATACTAAGACATTATCTGCCTTGTTCGCTTTTTGGGTATTTGCACTCATGGTGTAAAGCAGTGGCATCTAAAACTGCTAGTGCCTTAGCAGGAATCAAGGCAGTGACACCAAACTGTACTAGTAGTCACTGTATTCTTTACCCCCGTGCACTCCAGGGTGGGGAAAAGCTGGTTTCACTTAAGAATGTCCTTGATAAGGCAAAAAAAAAAAATTATTAAATCTCAACAGCAACATCAAAAAAGGGGTCATCCCACAGACCTGGACTCTAGTCTTGCCTCTATGACCTTTGGCAAGAGACACCCTTTCTAAGCCTGTTTCTTGTAAAATGGGCGTGTGGCACCGTGCTCATAGGCTTCTCATGAGGATCAAATGAGAATGCTTATAAAATGCTTAGCAGCAGTGCCTAGTGTGTGGTTCGAGCTCATAACACTTTCAGCTCTTATCAGTAACAATCTGTCAAAATCCAGGAAAGAATGTTACAGGGAACAGTCATTGTCCGCTTAGCAAGTTTCCAAATTCTAAGGATCTGGATTCCAGCTAAGTAAGAGAAAACAGCCTTGCATGCAACACAAGACTGTTGGACCATCTTAAGCCATGCAACTGAAGAGGTTCAACTCCAGCCTCCCCCAAACACGCCATGGCATATGGATTCTTTTGAGCTAAAGGAAATCAAGACCCTGTGGGCTCAAGAGAAACATCTGTCCCTCCCTTAACTACCTGGAAGAACTTACATTGGAAGTCTCTCCCAAAATGAGAATTATTACCAGAGATGAATCTTATCTGAGTGACCCACCTGTGTGGCAGGGCAAATATCTAATTACCAAATGTTTCCTCTTTTGCTTCTTGTTCCTGTGAATTGCCCTCCTTCCTGTTGAAGCCCCAGGTCCCTATCCCATTCCTTAGCTCAGGATGGCATAAATACAACATTTTACCTTTCTATCTTTGAACCTCTCATGTATGTGGGGTTCTCGTACTTACAAAATTAAATTTGATTTTCTCCTGTTACTCTGTCTCATGTCAATTTGATCATCAGACCAGCCAAAAGAACCTTTGAAGGGTAGAGGAAAATTCTTTCTCCCCAACATAAGGCTGGGAAATATCAAATGATGCTGTGGCAGAATTGGAGTAATCCTGTCCGACAGCCTTCCCCTCTTTCCCCTGCATTCCCCCTCCCTCTTCAAAGGCTGGCGGTCTTGACAGGACCTCAGGAGGGGACACACTGGATTCCTTACTGCAGGTCCCAGGAGAGCTGCTCAGACAGATCCTTGGAACTGTTCTGAATTTACAGGCGACTCTTGCAGAGGTCTGGGTCCAGCTTCAAAGTAAATATAGGGCTCATCTTCCTTTCCTTTGGCCACTTATCCAGCCAAGGAGAGTATTCCAGGCAGAGGGAACAGAATGTGTAAAGGCTGGAGGTAGCCGAGGAAAGAGGATCGGCAGGGAAACAGTGGAAGAGGCAATGCCTCCAGGTCCTGGTGATCAGAAATGGCAGAGCTAGGGACTTCCCTGGCGGTCCAGTGGTTAGGAATCCATGCTTCAATTGCAGGAGGCGAGGGTTCGATTCTCGGTCACGGGAACTAAGATTCCGTATGCTGCACGGTGCGGCCAGCAATGGCTGAGCTAGAAGGACACTTGGCATCTGACCAACTAAGATCAGACGCAGAATATGCCCTTTACTTCTGTGTGGACTTGGGTGTGTTAATTTCTCAGCCTCCGTTTTTTTAATCTCTAAAGGGGTCATAACAATACCCATATGCGGGAGAGTTTTTATGAAGATTCAAGTAGGTCAAGAAACTGGCCCACAGTCTGTGTTCATGAAACAGATTCTGACTCAAGATATAAAAACTAAGTGGCCCCTGTGTGCCAACGGACATACATCTTTTTCAATTAGCCCTCAGAATAGCTCCATCATCCTCCAGTTTGTTAATGAAGAAACTGAGGCTCAGAGGAGACAATTGACTGAGGTCATGGCAGGCGGTGGCCAAGGGACCTTCCTCTGCTGTTGCT